TCCATTGTGCACCCCCAAATAATCAATATTGCCCGGCCAGAATTTTTCAAAGGCACGGCAATCTATCAATTATCGCGGCAAAATTATTCGACCTCCTCTAGGCATAATATATTCGCGGCAAAAGCATTATAAGTTCCGGCTCCTCACTAAAATTAGGTTTTTTGTAGGGTGTAATCCATTGTGCACCGCAGTGTATTTCGGCAATTGCGTAATATGTGAACTGCTTGAGAACGAATGCATAGTTTTCTCAATGTTGCTTCAGTATTAGCATTGTCGTTTGAGCTGCCACCTATTGAAAATTCTCACCAGGATATTCCCTAACGATATTTGCCTTCAGATAGCTCGACAAAGTATCCAAAAAAATCTCTCCTTTCTTTTTTCTTCTTTTGGTAACCCTTGATCTCCTTTCTTTCCACCGGACGATCCTGCGCTTCTTGCAGCACACGCTAACACCATTGTCCATTATTATTAGCTCTACCGCGGGGTTTCGTCACAGTACAGATGCCTTTCTATGTCGACGGCAGTGTCACCTCAGCACTTTAATTTATAGTGATAGAAGTAGTCATTGAGGATTCTTGAAGAACATTCCCTTTTTTCAAGGCTGCTTGCCTACTGGCTAGTATTCCTGCCATAGAGCACCGTTTAGCTCACTACTGTCCAGTACTCTTTTCTCTTCTGCTTAGTGAACAGCAGAAAGGATGTCGGCAGATTCTCGATTTCATCAGCGCTACATTTATTGAAGCCTTTAGAGCCTGTTCCACATTACCCTCCGACAGCATATTAACGGAAATCCTGAACTCTTCCGTACTCCTTTTGGAACTCTCTGCGTTCATCTCACACACCCCTCGTGAACGACGCATTCCGCCCTCTTCACATCCAGTCAGTACCCAGTCCTTGCCTGTATGCATTGGAAGTCTCCGATCACCGCAATCGTAGAGTTCTCATAACCACATAGAATGGTGTTGAACGGTCCATCCATGACCTCCTTTTTGATGACGTCCACTTTCGAATGAAGAGGGCCCAAATCGAAGCTGACCTTTGATAGGACTAATTTGATTGTATTGAAATGGAAGAGTTTCCAGGTCTCCTCGACACTTTTTCAGATTGCTTCAACAATGATTATGCTATTCAGTACTAATAAATTGATAAATATAGTGCCACCTACTGCTTTTGTTGAGGGGTCATGTTTTTAACCTGTGAAGTTAGGCTTTTCACGTCGTTGGAGCCCTCGCCACAAGCAGTTGAGCACCACCTCCGTTTTGAGAGAGGTAGTGTTCTTAACTCTCCAGATCTCTGCACTTTACTTCACTGTCAATTGTATTTGTGTGTGTGCGTGGAAAGAAATAAAAAAGGCACCTTTTGAGGCTTCCTAAGAAGCACCTTCTAACATTCGGAACGATCCTGTGGAGGAAAGTCGGTTCATCTTCGAAGATTCCACTTGCATTAAATAACATATAAACAGGAAAAGAGCTCCAGCTCATAATAAATTCGATCATTCATTACCCCAATTGCTACTGTGTCAGCGTGATGTGTACTGCCTTCAACTCACTAGCTTTGAGCTCGTCAAATCTATCAAACTTCTTCTTTCCTAGTAAATCATGTATGCATACAGACGTTCCACACTCGTCCCGGAAAAAGGTATTGTGGTCATCTATGCAGCGGATATGAGAAAATTTGACGAAACTATTCAGGTATAGATAGTTGTTCACTCGGGGATATAATTTGGACAACATAAAAATTTTCGGAAGTTTTTCACGTAGAGGGTGAGCTATGAGCACACACGGTAACACCTTATTGAGATTCTTACTGAATATGTTTGGCACAGGTAGTCATTACTGACGGGATGAAGGTCTACTGCCAGGGTCAAAGCGAGATCGCTTTCGCCAACGAAGCCTCTGGAACAGTGTACAATGTTATGGAGAATTGTGTTTGATTCTATTGTGATATCAGATTGTGATAAAAGTATTTGATTACTACTATGGTTTGACTAGATCAGTAGTTGCCCATGTCGGCCTAACAGACTTTTAGTAAAACTTGTGAGGCCGCAAAGTAGTCTTTTGGTCTGAACACGCATGTGTCAATGGTTTCAGCGTGGAATTTTCTAAAGGATTGCAACAAGGACTTTGAACAACACGGCAATAAGGTTAGAATGAGGTAAATTCGATGCGCCGCGGTTGTTTTTGATTGTGTTTCATCTATTCTCTCAAAATTTTCCGTCACAAAATCAGAAGAGTCCATGAACTGGTGTAAAGCAAAGTGATGCGGAAAACAGGTTAACCGGGAGAGCCTGGCTGTCTGGAAATTTATCTATGCGCTTGATGCATTCGAGAACCTTGGTTACGTAGGGAGCTGCTATTTTTTGGGTTAGCATTAATTAGTTAATGATAATAATCAAAGAATTCAGCTTCATTCTGTTGCATTTCGAACGTATTATCTGGTATACTGTTGCTGGATCGCAGCGAGAGTCATTCAGCAAACATTCTTCATGGGCCGTCCCTTCAGCCTTATCCATGCTTCGGCGTTCCTATTTAGCATTGTTCACTCGATCCTCGTTAGTAACTTTGTTGGGTGCCTTGATGCGTCGAAGATCTCGTTACTGCTTTTTCCACAAACATAGTTGCCATTATGCTCATATCAGTTCGTTGGTCCTGTGCAAGTTTAAAACTACTCTTATCATCGAAATAACTGGGTCTTTGCACCTCGATGTCTTACGTGCATGTTTCCAGCAGGCTTTTAAGACAGCACTCTTCGAATGTTGTGACAACATGTTTCTAGGCGAGGACTCTTGGCCAGTGACTCAGTCCTTTCAATAGAGGTATCACTATGGTCGCGCCATATCCTGTTTGTTAACGTTGCTGGAATCTTCGTGTTCACCTTCCCCAGAGCAATTTCAAAGATAGCTCTCTACCTCGTCGAACGTTGTTAGTGTGAAGAGGTACATGGCGTTGTTAGTGTGAAGGGGTANTGAGAACAGCAACAGGCGTCTGCTCGGGTGAAGCTGAACGACTCAAATCCCGGCGTTTAGCTAGTGAGATAGCTGCTGTCAATGGTTATACAGTGTCACAAGGTTGTAGAAAATCTCGCACTAATATGCAGCGTGCTACGCCTCGAAATAAGTTACCACTATGCCCTCGCTTCATCTCTGACAAAGTTAGCAATGCTATGCAGCGGAGCATTTTCAGAGCTGGGCTGCAAGATGTTGTACAATTAGTGGATATTTCTAATAGCAATATTAAGCAGCTATTAGTTCAGAATAGGCCCTACGACAAGCAGTGCATAATAAAAGATTGCATCATATGTCCCTACGGAGAAGCAGGTGATTGCGCACTGATCTACCAGTTGGAATGCCGGACATGTTGGTCAACATACATCGGAGAAACGTGAAGACAACTAGCTACAAGTGTAAAAGAACACTTAGCTAGTATGAGGCGTGGCAGCTTGATAACGGCGCTTCGTAGGCATAAAATTGAGAAGCATAATGGCAGCAGCTTTGAAGTTAAGTGCACGATATCAGCTCAGGAAACGGAGATTTCAGCGAGAAGGGCATTGGAGGTATTCTGGATTTTATAAAAAAATCCTAAAATGAACGGTAGAGATGAGTGCCCATCCATAACCAACGATCTTTTGCCATATACACCGCACTGCAACTTGTGAATCACTAGCATTACAACGTGATCTTCCTTTTCACAAGTATAAGGAAAGCAGCTCATAAGTCTCATTCGTTACCGACAGTCACTTGTGACGACAGTGGATTTTATATCCGCTTGAGCGGGTGGAATCTTGGTGAGTTATGCTTCAAACTATGGGTTTTAAGTTTGTTGTGACATTCGCCAGGGTGGTGCGCTTTTTGGATACTGTGTCGTCTCGAGTTGCTCCAGGCCTCT